CCCCCCCCCCCCCCCCCGGGGTGAGACGTCGCTACAAAATTTCATGTTGTTCTTCCAACAAAAAATGTCTCCCTTTGTTTTTTTGTCTCTCGCTCTACCTCCTTTTCTCGTTAAGCTTCGCTCTGTTACCCTACTTTCTCTTTTTCTCTGTCTTTCCGTTTTCGTTTCTCTTTTCCGCTTTCCGTTTTCGTCTTTATTGACTCTTTAGTTGTCTCTGCTTCGCAAGACGCAAGTGGCCATACGCTTTCCCGCCAAAATAGCCTGACATTTGGCAACAGCTTACATGTAGTGGGTGTACGGACGGTCGTTCGTACGCTACGTCATGGATGGATAGTTTACCAAATTGCCGCTATTGAGAGGCATTGTAGCTTACTACCGTCCATGGTTTACTTATCCATTTATCTATTTATTTATTCATTTTATTTTATTTTATTGGCTTAGAAATTTGGCCTTTTTGTTTTTAGCGTCCATGGAGGTTCTCGTGTTATCTTTATCATTATATTAATTGTTTATTTATTTATTAACGTATTTATTTATTTATTGGTTATCTATTCACGCATTTCTTTAATTTTATCATTATCGTAACATCTACTTCTGCAGTCATCGACAAATACTAAGTTCCCCCAAGAAGACATACCACAAAAAAAGATAATAATAATTAAACAAAGAGGCTGGTGAGTGGGACAAAAAGGTTTAAAATTCTTGTCCCCCACCCCAACCGCAACTCCGCCTTGATGAAAAGGGATAAAATTTTTACACCCTATATCACTTTGTATATCAATAAAAAAGAGGCTTTTTTTCCCCCCTTCGTGGACTAGCCAGTGCCAAACTCTTTAACCAACCTAGTCCAGGGGAAAATGGTTCTCCAATAAATGGCTGAATAAGGACTCGCAAATATAAAATCAAAAATCTTTTAATCGATTAATAACCGACAAACAATACACTAAAAAAGCCGCCACTGAGCTACTAAAGAATGACGGGAGCTCATAAACCACGGTCATGGGCTCCTGAGCATGCACAATCCTTATAATGTTTGCATGCTTCAATCACTACTGAGAATTCTATACACACTTTCAAAATTCGTTTCAAAGGCAGAAAAATTAAATAACATATTTTACATTTCCAGCTTTAAAAAAATTGTGTGTAGACTACATGTAAGTATCCGATCTGAATGTTCGCGTAATCACAAGATTGAAACCACCTGGCCGTGTCCTCTCTCATTCCCAAAATAGAAACCATTTAGAATTACATCACAGCAGCTGGTGTAATTTCCCAAAATAACTACGCTTTCTTGCTCATCAGGTTATATCTACTGAACAATTTTCTTTGATAATCTTTTCAAGATGAATATTATAAGAGAAAAAAGGTGGTTGCAACCACCCCGTCTCTTAATTGACTACGATAGGGAATGAAGTGTATTGTACGATTGACGTTTAAAATATCTTTCACTGTCGGTTTCGGATGAGTTGTAATAACGTAAAACGTTTTTCTTTCAATAGATACCTACAAAAAACTTCGTCACAACTTAAAACTTATCCGTACAGTATTTGAATACCACAGTGTATGTCTCGATGGCAATTTGGTGCGCCGTAAGAGCTTTTCACCCTTAGTCTTTCAAGGCTTGTCTCGGTGGTGTTAGAGAGCAGATGTGCATCACAGACAAAATTATGGCAATGAAATTCTTAAAGATGACGACGGTGCCGACGGTGGCACTGCGCTTTCCATGTACAATAAGAACCTCCAGGCGAATGGTTAGGGCTACCAAGTTTGTAACTAATTCAACAATTTTGCGAAAAACGTTTGGTTTATAGCGTATTTGTTCGTTGGATTCCCCTTCAACGCCTTCAATGAATTCGTATTCAGCCATTTGCAATGACGAGACAATGACTGTAATGATTGCCCCAATCACCAGAAATATTCTAGAAAGATCAAAGGCTCCCAAAGAGCTCTCAAACGCGTTGTTCAACATTTCAATAGCATCGAAAAGATCAGCAACCATAGGAACAGATAAATTTCGAACAAGATCTTTGTGACTCTTAGAGCTGAACGAATCATCTGCGGTTGTCAACAACAGGATCAGCAGAATAGGTGTCATGCAAAGGGGGACCTTTATTTGATCGGCCAAATGGCAACGCAGTGCCATTCCTTCCAAACTTGCCTGAACTCCAAATGCAGCGATTATGCTTGGCACTAAAATGATGCAAATGTAAAACTGCCATCCGCGAAAGAAGTGAGAAAGATGTCTCCTTCGCCTAGGATCCCCAACAATGACCTCACAAAGATGGTCATCGATCACACCACTTGCGACACCCGCCAAAAACTTACCCGCCAAAAGTAAAGCAAAGTATTCCTTCTTCTTGTTCATGATCATGGAAGTGTAGGGCCAAAACAAGATCGTATTCTGTATCCACAATAGAATAAGAAATATACGCACACACATTAATCTTCTACTAGATGAAAACGACATTCTTCAATGATGTTTTGAAGTTTAACAAGAACGAGCTTACAGCGGCATTCCGTCTCGCTCTGCTTAGATATTAGATCGAGAAATGAGGAGGCGATTACGCGAAACAGGATTTACTCGCTAAAGGATTTTTACTTCCTACTTTATCGACGTCGGTACTTTTCACTTGTTTCTGAAATAATTTAGTACGCGTGTATAAATATACGAAAATTCAAAGGGCCTCGATTCCGGACAACTGTTACGTCATTGCCAGAGATAAAAAAAGTTATTAACATGGCACTTCATTTCAATCATCGCCAAAAATAAATCGTATGCTCATCACAAGAGCTGTTTGCATACAATGAAAGTTTTCAACACCCGACCACCGCAGTTTTGCTAATTAAGATTCTTATTTAAGTTTCGACCACTCAGTAGTTCACTTGTTCCAAAGAAATCGATGCTTTCAGAAAAATTGGTTGGGGGTGTGTGGCACACTTCCTGAAACCCTTCCCCTATTTCAGACCTGAAGCCCTGGAGCCCGGCGCGTGACCGGAGCGCGTACGTAGTTGGCGTAAACATTAAAAGGGAAATGTTGTTATCGCCAAATGATGAAGAAGTAGCTAATTCTTCTAAAAAAAACATACCCAATTCACGACTAGATCTTCCTCTTTCAAATAACTCTTGCTGCAATAATCTCCAGTAATCGAAATCTCTTCACTCTCAAACTTTATACAAATTTCTGTTGCCAATTTTTTTTTCTATGAAGGCATGTGAGTTGTGTAATTTTGACTTATTTAAAACTGATTTCGAGATATCCGGCCTTATACTTCGGAAATAAACTACAAGTTTACGACATTCTTCAGCGTCGCAAATCCTTTAATACTTTGCGCTCCGCCTCAAATATTTATTGTAGCCGAAAGAACTAGAAGTGACCTTGCGATATCTCCAACTCATCAGTGCCGTAGCAAGGTTAGATTTATTTGGTGGGGCCAATCACGTTCACCGAAGGCGCGAGCTGCTAGGGGGGTCCGGAGGCATGCTCCCCTGGAAGATTTTGAAATATAGGGTCTCTGAAATAGCATTTTCAGCCTTCCGAGAGCATTAATTTCCAGCAATGTTTCTTTGTTTACGCCATAAATAAATAATTTTCACGCTTTATCGAACCGAAATGAACACATTGAACCGAAGAGCAGCGTGAAGAGCGTGACCGCTGAACAAATTAAACGTGCTTGTCAAAATAATAGGGGGGCCCCCAGCAACCCCCCCCCCCGGCCCCTCCCTATGCTTCAGCACTGCTCATTCCGGTGTCACTACGTCCAAATCGAATCTTTCCCTCGTGTATAACTTATGGCTACTTTTTACTTTTCAAATTACTTTGCGTCGCAGTGGCGCAATTGGCTAATCCCCCAAGCGAGAGTCGGATATGACGGGTCACACGTAAACCGGTTCAAACCTTTATTTCTTCCAGAAGTAATACTTTCTCATAATTATTTCTTTCCTCTAAAAGATCAAATCAAAGAACTCGAGGATACCTCGAACTAATTCCGAAGCAACTTCGGGACATTCGGAAGCAACTTTGGAACATTCTGATCTTGAGCTGTGCGAATCCTTAACTTCACGCTCCGCCGAAGTAATAATGATCGAGTTTCGAGTCTGAGTTGAGTTAAAGTTGAGTTTGATTTAAGTTTGACTTAAGATTGAGTTAGGTTTGAGTTACTGTTTTTAGCGTTTATTTTATTTTAGTCTTTTATTTTTACACTCTGTGAATGAAAATGATGGCAAAGATTATCGGCGTTACACAGATTTTTATATATCAAGTGCCTAAATTCAATTATTTTTCAATTTAACAAAATGGAAAGGGTGCAGACAGCCACACCTCCCTTCCCCTGCCTTGGAATCCCCCCTCTAAGACGCCAGGAACAGGCAATTAATAATGAGCACATTTTTCTAGTACTCCAAGAACGTATGACTAGTATTACCGCTTAGTTCCTGTTATCACTTTCCTCGATTTCAACAAGAAGATCAAAAGACTTCCGCAGAAAGCACGCTACATTTCCTATGGTTTTAACAATAAATTCTAAAGAAGGCTGGAGTATCCGTAACAAAAGAACCTGACCTGTGCGATCTTGGTTTTCACAGCTATTTCGAGAAAGGTTGTCGGAAAAATGTACACAAGACAATCCCGAAATGTAATATGGGATATGATCAATACACTGTTCCTGACACTTTAGCTGTCGAACCTACATTTGTTGATTTCCTTTAGCACCCACAAACATACGTCCATGGCCTCTCGTGCCATTTTTTCAAATTTTTTTGAAGAACAGTGAACTTCAAAACCACCAACAATACCTTTCGGGATTGTCGCGTGCACTTTTTCCGACAACCTTTCTCAAAATATCTGTATACCATCAGTATAAAATATGCACTGTGAATTGCGGAGTGGGTATTAAGAAACGAACGAAAATGCTCAAGATAGATTAATAATGGAACTTGATGAAATTGCAATGCACAAATTAGTATATATTCTGACCGTGCACCACACTAGTAGATTTAGAAATGACTATGCCTGGGACTGTCTAGACTTCGATTTCAGTGAATTACCCATACAGTCTCAAATGTAACCTGCGTGCTCCACTGCATTTGTCCTTTAAATTAAACAAAAAAAAAGAAAAGAAAAAACCATCGCGATCCACACGGGCTATCTCAAATAAAACTTTAATAATAGAACTACAAGAGGATCATGATTATCCAGGTCGTTACACTTCAAATTCAAGAAAATGAAATAGACTGCTCTGGTCACGTAAACTCTTAGTGCCACTTCTTTACTTTATTCGCCGTGCCACAGCGTACTTTATTTCTTTTACGATAACATTTTTTTTGAAAATCTAGACAGCTATAAATCGTACCTTGCCTTGGCCGAGAGAACGCACGAATGATCAAAGAGTCATGACTTGGCTGTTTACAGTCCCCTATTTTTCTATTGTCGAAATTGAGCGCCCGTTATAGTATTTAGTGCTCTATCTCTACGATCTTACGGAAAAATAGATTTAGGGGGACCTAACTATAGCAGGTTATACAAACCGCCTGAAAAGTATCAAGTGAACAATGTTAAATTGATATTCTAGAATTAAGTGAAGCTGGCGTGATCGAAAAAGAGGGCACTTTCCGGGATCAGGAGTCCATGCTACAATTGGGTGTCTGTAAAACCAGGAACAGGCCCGGAAAACCCCCGGAACACCCGCGAAACCCCCTCAGGCCTGAGCCTACATGTCCCAGGACACCCCGGAACATCCCCCTGACGGGACGGACTCCCTCCGGAACACCCTTAATGACAAAAGTTAGGCAAAAAAATTATAACATCAAAAAAAAAAAAAACTCAAAAAATCATCAAAGAATCAATATCATTTGTAACTGGAAAACGGAGATTGGGT